TAATTAATTGGATCAGGAGTCACAGCACACTAAATACCGTGGAGAATTTAGATGCACCTAGGGATTAGTGAAGTTGCTATCTTCCCTGGAGAGGAAAAACCAAGGCCCCACTGGGATTCGAACCCAGGATCTCCTGTTTACAAGACAGGCGCTTTAACCAACTAAGCCATAGGGCCTACAAGTGCAGCTGACTTGACGCTGAGTCTGTCCTTGGTATTCGATTAAATATTCTTATCAGTCTGTATCACCTAAAACTGACTACCTTGAGAAAGCTGGACACATTCCCAGAACTCGTTTTACCCGTTTAGATGCACTGCCAGACTGACATAAATGGAAAACGTTTGGGACCACTTGGATGATGGTTAATGCCAATGAAATGTTTCAATAATCCAAAGAATCATCAGCAAAAGTGGAGGCCACCCACTCTTCCCAAATGAGATAAAGTCTTTTAAAAGCACACTTCGCTGTTACTGCATCTTTCTAAACTTGAGTTCTTCATGCAAGTGCCCTACATGGGGATCTCTGACGAAAGAGCTCCACCAAGAGACCTCAGACAGGAGGGTTAGTACACTAGGTGCCCGCACAGTCCCCTGTAGGGAGCAGGCAATGAGCTGGAGACTGGTCCGGCGCATCAGCCCCTCCTCGGTGTGAACACCACGCCCCTGCTGGCTGTCTGGGCTTATTTTCTTTAGACTTTGTCTCAGCTCACGCTGAGTTCTATTTTGTTTCATTTCCCTGTGCTACATCTGGAAAGATCTGCGGATCTGTTTGTGTCTCTAGGTTGGGAAAGGTAAGCGGTTAAGCTAATCAAAGGAAACTCACAAGAATTTTCTGGAATCTCAACCTTGTTTCCAAAATGGATCATTTAAGCAATGAATTTGGAATTTTCTACAAAGATTATAATTCAGAGCTCAAGGGTGAAGATGAGAAATCGCCTTCGTTTTTATGTTGCTGAGATAAGACCAACAGTGGCTCACGTAAGAAAAGCCTTGTGAAAGCAGAGACAGCAACATCTGTTGTCAAGAGTTTAACTTAAACTTTTGTTCTATTAAAATGAAAGCTTAAATTAACTACAACTCTGATAACTTTTAGAACCAGAAAAATAATAAATATATATCATAAAAACAATAAAGCTAACTCTCCTACTTTGTAAAATAAAGTAGTAAACACACAACCGACACACTGCATTCCCAGGCCTTGGGTAAATGATACATCCAAATATAAACAAAGGGGGAACAAGCCATTGGTAGACAAAGCAAACAGTGCTTTTTCCAATAAAGATACCCAGAAATTGGAAAACAAATGATTTTTTAAGAGTTCATTTATAATGAATATAGCAAAATGAAAAGTCCAAACATAGAGAAAAATAAATCAGTATGAGAATATGATACAAATGACAATTCAATTGATACAGATGGACTATTCAAAACATGATGTGGAGCTAGATAGATAGCCATCTAGAAAAAAAACTTAAATCAATATGGTTGATAGTAAAATATGGTGATAGTAAAATAAGCTCCAGATAGACATAAATTTTGAAAGATTGAAAACAATCCACAAATATAACTTCTAGAAATGTGAAAAAAGAAATTTTATATAATGTTGATGTAGGAAAACAATTTTTACAAAAATTCAGGCCCAGTGAAATTTAACATCATTTACTATGTTAAAAAATTCTGCCTGAATAAGCCCTCATCCTCTCAAAAATGCATAAACAAAATGAAAAGGAATGGAATGATGAAACTGTGGGAAAAACACATGTGTAACTCATGTTTTCAAGGCTTAAATGTCCTAGTACGTAAGGAACTTCTATATCTCAGCAAGAAAAATCCCAACTCACAGGAAAACCGTGCATGGGAATGCTGCCTTCATGAAAAGGAAAAACAAATGGCTCTGAAAATTTGAAGAAATTTTGAATGTTACTGTTAATGGGAGAACTGCTAGGAGGGAGCTGTAGAACAAGGATTAAATAACACCTTTTCCATGTCATACTGCAAACAAAAACAATTGTTCCAGTGCTAGTAGTAAGACATTGCATTGATTTCCTGTGGATTCTGTAACAAATCACTGCACACTTGGTGACTCAAAGGGCAGAAATTGATGGTATCACAGTTCTGGAGGACAGAAGTCTGACATCAGAATTGCTGTTCTAAAATCAGGTGTTGGGAAGTCTGCTGCCAGAAGATGCTCTAAGGAGAATCTGTGCTTGGCTCTTTCAGTGCCCGGCGCTGCCAGCATTCATTGACTTGTGGCTGCACAACTCCAGGTCTTGGAGTTAAAAGGTGACTATTTCTTTAGTGAAGGGAGCATTTTTCAGCCTACCCCAGAAATTAATATCTTTATTCCTCAACCTATAATCTATGATTTGGGTATGGTCATCTTCTTTTCATTTAAAACATAGGAAAGGACCTTCCTAGGCAGGAAGAAGTTCTATTTGGAGATTCACAGTTCAAGATCAGGTGGGCCTGTCAGCCTCGCATATGAGGGAGACTGACACTGGCAGAGGGTATGTGGGTATCTTGATGAGCCAGGATGCAGAGAGTCTGTTTGAACACATTCTTCCTCTACCTACTCTCTCCTCAACAATGCCATCATGATTTGGTCATAGGACACTATCCTCTAACCTAATCATTTCCCGAAGTCTTCACCTTCAGACACTATAATGGATCAAGCCTCCATCCTAATCTATCAATCATCAATTCAATAACCATTGACATAAGACTTTGGGGTTCAAATATCTACATGAGTTTGGGGTGTCAAACACTACTCAAAACATAACCCTTAGGCAAGGGGTTAACTGGTCACAACGTCAGGTTTCTTTTCTGTAAAATATGGATAATATTTGTATTATTGAGAGTGTTACTTAATATATGCAAAGAACTTGTGACAGTTTGTGGAGCTCAGTATGAGTTAAATTACTGGTAAGTCCATTACAACAATGTTCTGTGCTGATCAGGGTGTTGCTATAGGAGGACAAATTAGTAATATTTAGAGAAGGACATGAGACGAGAACCACCAAAATTAGCATAAAATGGAATATGAAACAGAGGGGGAAAGCTCTTGATGTGTTGGCGTGGATTGCTTCAGCATGCATGAACTGGAAAGGTCCAGGTGCAGCAGGACAGGTATGGAACATGTAAAATGTGAGGAAAATAGAAGGTGTCTGTTGATTGGTATATGCCAGAACTGTACCTTGAGTGGAATTCCAGACTCTAATATGGTTGTTGGAGCAGCTGGAATCAGGTGCCAGGTGGGACGGGCTAGGTGGGGACAGATTTTCACAGTGTACATGTATTCTTAGATTTTTGTCATTTTGAGCTATAGAAAAAAAAGAAGTGTCTCCTTAGATAGGAGATCTTGCTCCTAGATAAAAGTGGGAGTAAAAATGGTGTCATTTGTTGCTGTGGATTCGTTGTGAGAGGAGGAACGTGGTGGGGGGCAAGAAGTGCGGCATCACCACACAGACACTGGGAGTCAGGTGAAAGAGGGCTAGAGGCAAGCAGCCCGCAGACCCATTTATTTCAGTTGGTACAGCAGCTTATATAGCTGAGGCAGCCAGTCCGGTCAAGGGGCAGTTTATGCCCTAACCAATCACAGCCTGTTGCCAGGCAGGCTCCATTGCTAGGTTGATTCCGAAGCCATTCCTGAGTAACTGACACTGGCTTGCCAGTGGCCATCTTGGCATGGCCTTCTCATTCCACCTCATTTCCTCTTTTCATTTATTTTTTTTTTATTTTTTATTTTTTATTTTTTATCTTTTATTTAATGAATATAAATTTCCAAAGTACGACTCATGTGTTACAATGGCTTCCCCCCCCATACCGTCCCTCCCACCCACAACCCCCCCCTTCCCACTCCCTCTCCCCCTCCATTCACGTCAAGATTCATTTTCGATTATCTTAATATACAGAAGATCAGCCTAGCATACCTTAAGTAAGTATTTCAACAGTTTGCTCCCACACAGAAACATAAAGTGAAAAATAATAGATGATTTTTTTTAAATGATGATGAAATCAGATCAGACCTATTGTCATGTTTAATCCCAGTGAGAGTCAAGTTGGGAATTGATAATTTTTTTTTTTTTTACAGAAGATCAGTTTAGTGTACATTAAGTAAAGATTTCAATCGTTTGCACCCCCATAGAAACACAAAGTGAAATATACTGTTTGAGTACTCGTTATAGCATTAAGCCTCAGTGTACAGCACGTTAAGGACAGAGATCCTACATGAGGAGTAAGTGCACAGTGACTCCTGCCGTTGACTTCACAAATTGACACTCCTGTTTATGGCATCAGTAATCTCCCTATGCACCAGTTATGAGTTTCCAAGGCTATGGAAGCCCCCTGAGTTCTCCGACTCTTATCTTGTTTAGACACGGTCATAGTCAAAGTGGAGGTTCTCTCCTCCCTTCAGAGAAAGGCACCTCCCTCTTTGAAGACCTGTTCTTTCCACTGGGATCTCACTCACAGAGATCTTTTTGCCAGAGTGTCTTGGCTTTCCATGCCTGAAATACTCTCATGGGCTTTTCAGCCAGATCCGAGTGCCTTCAGGGCTGATTCTGAGGCCAGAGTGCTATTTAGGACATCCGCCATTCTATGAGTCTGCTGAGCATCTCACTTCCCATGCTGGACCACTCTCCCCTTTATCCATTCTATCGGTTGGTGTCAGCAGATACTAGACTTGCCCATGTGCTCCCCTTGACTCTCAGTCCTTTCATTATGATCAATTGTGAACTGAAATTGATCACCTGGAATAGCGAGATGGCATTGGCACATGCCACCTTGATGGGATTGAATTGGAATCCCCTGGTATGTTTCCAACTCTACCAATTGGGGCAAGTCAGCCCGAGCATGCCCCAAATTACACATCTCTTCCCTCTCTTATTCCCACTCTTACGTTAAACAGGGATCACATTTCAGTTAATTTTCAACACTCAAGAATAACTGTGTGATAATTACAGAATTAAACCAGTCATATCAAGTAGAACAGACAAAAAAAAATACTATGAGGGATAATGTATTAAGTTGTCCATCAGCAGTCAGGGCTATGCTGATCAAGTCACCATTTCTCATAGTGTCCACTTCACTTCAGGAGGTTTCCCCTTTGGTGTTCAGTCAGTTGTCACCGATCAGGGAGAACATATGGTATTTGTCCCTTTGGGACTGGCTTACTTCACTCAGCATGATGTGTTCCAGATTCCTCCATTTTGTTGCAAATGACTGGATTTCGTTGTTTCTTACTGCGGTATAGTACTCTAAAGAATACATATCCCATAATTTCTTTATCCAGTCTACCGTTGATGGGCATTTAGGTTGGTTCCAGGTCTTGGCTATTGTGAATTGTGCTGCAATAAACATTAGGGTGCAGACCGCTTTTTTGTTTATCAATTTAAACTCCTTTGGGTAAATTCCAAGGAGTGGGATGGCTGGGTCGAACGGTAGGGTTATCTTCAGGTTTCTGAGGAATCTCCAGACTGATTTCCATAGTGGCTTGACCAGTTTGCATTCCCACCAACAGTGGGTTAGTGTCCCTTTTTCCCCACATCCTCGCCAGCATCTGTTGTTGGTAGATTTCTGTATGTGAGCCATTCTAACCGGGGTGAGGTGAAACCTCATTGTGCTTTTGATTTGCATTTCCCTGATTGCTAGTGACCTTGAACTTTTCATTTATTTTTGAGCAACGGGAGGCATGATCCTTGGCCATACCATTGTTGACTCCATTTCCATGTGGTCTCCATACGTGGCTGTGCCTGTTTTAGGTTGTCCCCCAGGGGATCTTACCTGTCGTTGACTAACCAGCCCTCAACACAGGAGACCACAGGAGTGCTTGCTCAGATGGGGGTAGGAATGAGGAACAGTGGTAATCAGGAATGGCATGATAGCACACAGGCTGTGGGCCAAATGAGTGGCTGACCAGAGCTATGTGGGGTATAAAGCAGTAACGGATGTGGCTATGGGCAGTTTCTCAGGGCAGGATGATAGAGCAGCATTTTGACAATCGGTAGCAGGTGCATCCGCTAACAAGGCAGACTCTCAGACTCAGCTGGTTCTGGTTGGCTGTCAGTTGCAGGCTTGATGTTTCTGGCTGGTACCCAAATAGTGTGTTCCACATTCTCTGTAAAGACACAAGCATATCCTTGGCCCTTGGTTAGCAGAGGATGTGGTCCCTTCCATTCTCCTGTCAGGGGGTCTTTCTACCTAACCATAGGGGCTGGGATCTGGGAAGAAAAGGATCCCCAGTGTTTATAAGCTGGGCTGATCCCTTGGGAATCAAAAGTAAGAAAATGGATAGTGAAAAGGACCTCAGTCAAAGCAAGCTGTGGGTCTGGGGGCATATGATTGCTTTTCTGTCTTTGTAAGAGATCTTTAATTGTCCTATGAGTTCTTTTGATGATTGTCTGTCCCTGTGGGTTGTATGGGATACCTGTGGCAGAATGTCTGTTCCAGGACCTCAGGAAGAAATTAAATTCGTGTGATGTATACACTGGCCCATTATCAGTCTTTATGGTCCAGGGGATGCCAAGGACCAGCATGGCTGACTTAACTGCCTTTATCACATTACTAGCCTTTTCTCCAAATAGCCTTTGAATAAGTATCTACCACCACATAGACAAACTTAAGTTTACCAAAGGAGTTAATGTGGGTGACGTCCACTTGCCAGAGCTTATTAGGAGCAAGGCCTCGTGGGTTGACTCCTGCTTGTTGCAGTGGGCCTAATGGGGCGTGAGGGGCACAGTTCTTGCAAGGGTGCACTAGGTGTTTGCATTGACTCAGCTCCAGGAAAAGCAATTTTATGTTGCTTGCTGACATGAAATTTTTGGTGTAGAATACAGACTTGTTCTAGGTGTCCGATGGAAGCTGTGTTGCAGGAGATAAGATGATCAACCTTTTCATTGCCTTGGAAAATAAAGCTAGGTAACCCAGTATCTGAACTTACGTGTGAAATATACCATGGGTGTTTTCTATTCTCAATTAGCTCTTTAAGTGTTGTGAACATCTGGCCAATTGGCTTATTGGTCAGGTTAAAGACTGCAAAGGGGATCATTTTTGCTACCTGTACTGAGTATTTGCTGTCCGAAAATATATTTACTGGCCCATCCTGGCTAAAGAGTAGAACCTTGACTATTGCCCTTATTTCTCCCAACTGCATTGATCCCCCGGGGGGTTCTACATGGATCTTATCTTTTTCTGTTGAAGATTTGATCACTATTCCAAACAATGACTTATTGGTGTCCATAAACGCACACGGTGCCATGGGTATAGGTTGATTAGCAGGGAAAGCATGTTTTGCATAGTCTATTTCTAAGGTTTGTAATGTCTGGAGTAGCCTGTCCACTGGTAGGTGATTGTCAACCTGTCCTGGGAAATTTATCATTAAAGTTTTAAAGAGCGTGCTATTCTGCATCAATGTGGACAGTTGTAATTGCGATAGGAGCAGGACCACTATGTCTGGCTCTGTGTTAAATATCTTACAGGCATAATATCTTAATTTAAGTCCCGTCATAAGGATGGCATCCACTTTGTTAACTATTTTATGACATTTGCTCCAGGCTATGTGTGCCCAAAAAAGTGGTCTGTCTTGTTGCCAAATAACTCCTAAGGGGGCCTAGAGGGTAGATATGGTTATGGCAAAGAGAGGCACCTGAGGGTCATATCTAAAGGTTTTTAAATTTGACAACTGGCTGTTGATCTTTTCTATAGTGGATTCAGCTGCTGATGTCAATGTGCTTTTTGAAGAAGGGCTGTTCCCCTTAGTCAGTAAATTGAATAGCGGTCTAAGCTCTGCAGGTGTTAGGGGAAGGAAGGGTTTCAGCCAATTTATTTGGCTGCATAGTTGCTGAAGTTCATTAAGTGAGTATTTATGCTTGCCTTTTAGGTTTGGGCCCATTGGAGATATGAGAGGAGATTTGATAACCCAGGAATTGAAAGGGAGGAAAATGTTGTACCTTTTCTGTGGCAATAGACAAACCCACAAATTGTAAATTTCTTACTGTCTCACTTAAATAGGCCTTCAGAGTTGCCACATTCTCATGAGCAAGTAAGCTATCATCCATATAATGTATGACCAAGCACTGATCTTTAAGTGTGCTGGTCGCATGAGAAATGTATCTTTGGCAAATGGCAGGGCTATTTTTCATGCCTTGTGGGAGTACTGTCCACTGGAATCTTTTTGCAGGGAGCTGGAAATTGGGCTCCCATACTGTAAAGGCAAAGTAGACCTTCTCCTCCTCCTCCTCCTCTGTGATGAGAATGGAAAAAAGCAATCTTTGATATCAATGGTAACTATGTGGTATCTGTTAGGAATGGCCCCTGGATGGGGAATGCCAGCCTGGAATGTTCCTATCTTTTTTATGATTTTGTTGATGGCTCTCAAATCCTGTAATAGCCTATATTTTCCCTTTTTCTTTGGTATCACAAAAATGGGTGTGTTGTGAGGGCTAGTGGAGGGCTCTATGTGTCCCTTTTCCAATTGTTCCTGCACCAATTCTCTAAGGATGCCAAGTTTGGGTTGTAATATTGGCCACTGCTCTACCCAGATGTTTCCTGTTTTTTCCTATTCAATGGGGATTGGGCCTGTCTTTTGTATGAGGGGAGCAGTGGCCCCTAGAATTGGGGGTGAATCTTATTTGTAGGCTCTCCATTAAAGCTGTTGGCTCGTGGAGATCTGCGATCCGTAGTAAGGACCGCTTGCATGTGTGAGAGCACATCTCTCCCCCATATGGTCATGGAAACCTCAGCAATTAGCGGAAAGATGGTTCCCGAATCTTCACTGTCATCTCGCCACGATACAGGCATGATGATCTGATCAACTGATTTTAATCCTCCAATGCCTTGGAGGTCGGGCCCGGGCGCTGTCTTCCAATATTGCATTTTCCTTGTGTCCCTAGCTTTTAAGACAGCGGCATCCACCCCTGTATCAATTAAACCCACAAAGGCAATGTCATCTAAGTATAGGGTCAATTTTGGTTTCAGATTGAAGATGGGCATTGACCAGTTAATGGTGGTGGGACTCCCTCTTACTTTCAGGGCTGAGTGCTGCCCGGCTGGGAGTTTAAAGGCTTGGTATTGCAATCATTTGCCCAATGAAATCCTTTTTAACATCTGGGACACGACGTTTTGGGCTTGCCCTGTCTGTCAGCGTTTGGGCAGTTTTGCCGTAGGTGTCCCATTTCCTGACATCCCCAACAAACCGGAGGATCATTAGACTTCCTTGTGTGCAGCTTGTTAATGGCTGCAGTTAGGGCCTGTATGGGTGTGTCAGCAGGGTTTACCTCCTTTGCAGCTACTCTCGATTTAGAAAGGTCTTCATTACGGACTGGGGCGATCGCAGCTTTTGCCTTTTTGGTAGCACCTTCCCAAGCTAATTGTTTGACCAAATTGTCTTGTTCAGGGCCAGGCAGTAATCTTTTCTCTACTGCCTCCAAGACTCTGGCAAGGAAATCAGGGAACCATTTGCCTGGGCCTTGAACCAAGTTTCTAAAGAGCTGACTATAATTAGGAGGATTTATATTTTTTAAGGCTCTAAGTGCCAAATCTCTGGCTTGATCAAAATAGGCAACTACTCCAATGCGGGCCTGTTCATGAGAATATATGTAGGTGCTGCGGCTTGTAAACACATCAAAGGTTACTGCTATTCCATGGGCAGCATTATTCCTCAGCACGGTTTCAGCCTCTTCCTCATAGGAGGCTTTCCACTGTAGAACTGTGGTCTAGACAAACATGCTTTCAGCAGTGTAACCTGATGGAAATGAGTTTGAAGGTTTGCTGCCCATTGTGTGAGCACCTGTTGAAAGTGGGGAGAGTCGGGGCCTGACTCTTGAGAAGCCTTTTGTAGCATAGTAAGGTCTTTTACAGGCATTGGAATCCAGGGCCTGAATTCTGCATCTGCTCCTACATTAACGTCAAGCATGCAGTGGGATGGGGTCTAGCGGCTGTCCTGAGAGCCTGGGGTGCCCGGGGACTGCCACAAATGTGGGGATCCTCACTGGGTGCAGATGGGATGACCCCGCATGGGTTATTGCCTCGAGGTCATCTAAGTTCATCCCACGGATATTTGGGGAGTGGCTGACCAGGCATTGCTGCATTGTCTGCTGCCATGTCATTTTCACTGTCGAAGCTCTCTCTCCCTAAGACATCAACTGTTGTCTGTGAGGTAGTGGCCTGGAGTGACAGGCTGTTACCACTCACAGATTCATTATGTTCGGTAATCTGTGTGGGTTTCTGAGAGGGGGTTATCTTTCCCATGTTTGAGTGTTTAAGAGCAGCGTACCATGCCAACTCTAGCCAAAGGAAAGACACGCACAGCACTGCTGCCATAACAAAGCAAATTCCTAGCACCGCAGCGGCTGATGGCATTCTGCAGGGGTTCCCTACATTAGACGAACAGACAGTGGTGTATCAGATCGTACGTATGTCCTGTGCTTAATGGGGGACTTCCTTGATTCGGTAGGTCAAGGCCATATGCCCACACCGTGTCTCTGGAGCGTCACCTCTCTCGAGTGAGGGAAGATGACTTGGTTCCGAATTCTGGGATGATCAGTCCCTTATGTGAATTCCCCGGGTAAACCGAAAGTAAAAGGGGAGCCGAGAAGCGGCGTACACTTCTGGGCGGTGTGTGCCTAACCTGGGGTCACTTAGACCGAGGACAAGGACAAGGAAAGGGGGAGTAGTAGGGGGTTCTGTGCTCACCTCACAGAACTGAACAACACAGAAAACACTGAGGGGCCTACTTGCTGAAATCGCCAAGTCTGTCACGCTGTCTCTCTCTCAGTCACGTTGGGCGCCAGATGTTGAGGTTGATTCATTCTGAGAGGAGGAGCGCCGTGGGGGCTAGAGGCGTGGAGTCACCACACAGACCCCCGTGAGTCGGGTGAAATCAGGCCAGAGGTGAGAGCCTGCAGACTCTTTCAATTGGTACAGCAGCTTAAATAGCTGGGGCAGCCAATCCAGTCAAGAGGCGGTTTATGGCCTAGCCAATCACAGCCTGTTGCCAGGCAGGCTCTATTGCCAGGTGGGTTTCGAAGCCATTCCTGTGTAACTGACTCTCGCTTGCCAGCTGCCATGTCTCCCTTTTATCTAGGAAGATAAAGAATAAGTTAAAGGAAGTTAAAGAATAAGCCTGGCAGCGGTGGGATTCGAACCCACGCCTCCGAAGAGACTGGAGCCTTAATCCAGCGCCTTAGACCGCTCGGCCACGCTACCACATGGCTTAAGTGTTTGAACTGATTCTAAATGACTTAAAAACCACAAGCCTGTTCACGCAGTAGTTTTTCTGAAGAAATGATTCTGTAGCCATCCCAACCACCGACGAAATCTGCAAACAGGCTCCTAGTCCAGATCCCTTGTCCTGCAGCTGGGAGACCAGGGTTTGCCTCCTGTCCTTTGTGTTTCTAGTATCCGAGAACAAAGAGAGAGGGGAGGCGAATCCCTAACATCGGTCAAACTCGAGGAGCATCGGTCCTGGAGAAAACGCGGCCGGCGGGGCAGTGCCAGGACTGCCGGGACGCTGGGGTCGGGCGTCTCCGGTTCTCCCGCCGCGCCAGGGGCGCGCAGACGGAACCTATCTTCAATGTCTGCAGCCAGAGAACACAGGCGCTCCGTCCCCACCCACCCAGAGCGCGAAGCGGTTTGTGTGCCTGGGTTTGCTTTCTTCCTGTGACCTGCGTGACTTTCGTGTGTCCTTCTGAGCTTGGCTCCCTGTGTCCGTGACCTTGACCCCCAAGGTTCGGGGCTGAGTTTGCCCTCGGCGCTGACCTGCGCGTTCTCTCCCGCACCCCACGAAGGCTGTGGGCCTGGATGCCCAGACCCCAGCTCCCCTGCCCGGCCCTCCAAGCCTTTCATCCCCTCACCATCCCGCCTGGCCCGTTGGATGCTGCCGCTTTTAGAGCGAGCCCCGCTTAAATGGTTTCAAATCCCAGCAGCTCCACTTAATAGCCACAGGCCATCGGCAAGTCACTTGAGCTCCGCAAGTACCACTTTCCTCATATGCAGAAGGGAGTCATTATAAGCGGTAGTTTGCTGTCATTTTTATCACCTCGTATTTATTAGAGAACAACTTTTTTTGAATATCCAATCTTCAGCCTTCAATGATACTGTGAGATGTGATCGCATTTCACAGATGATGATGCTTTTCAAATTAAGCAGCACGTTCACAAGAAAACCGAGCGATTTATGTTTACTGAATCGATAGAGGGCACATGGAAAATGTACACCTCAATCCTACGATGTCAAATTTAGAATATTTTCCACTGCGTCCGATTACTTTACCTTGAATCCAACACCTTAGTATTTCTGCGTTCTCAGTCAGCTCATTTTCTCTTTCTCTCTCCTGCCTTGTCGCCCTTCTGTTTGCACCATCCTGGAGCTTTAGCTCTGTAACGGCCTGCAGATGTCACGGTTAGACAGCGATTGTGCTTGGGCGCGTGAGATGTGCCCGGGTAAGGAGACCGCGGAAGCTTCACTCCTGTTATTTTCGCAGCCTGCGGATCTTCATGTTCGTTGGCCCTGCTCACGCCTCTTGTACCGTACCTGTATGTCACCTTCTCGATACATCTTACCACACGTTGTGTTGTGAGGCGGTGTGAAAATCTAATGAACTGTAACGGCTCCCAGCCGTCAGGAATGCGTAGGGCGCAGTGGAAAATCCACCGTGTTGCATATTTATTTAACAAAGGATAAAATACTGAAATAGTTGTGGCCCAGCGTTACGACATACTTGGACCAGCAACGCTTAAGATATGAGACACATATCTTTTTGTGAAGAAAAATAGTTTCGGAAAATGGAAAGAGAATTGTCGTTATTGCGACACCGGTGGCAGGGAGTGCCTTCTTAGCGCAGTAGGCAGCGCGTCAGTCTCATAATCTGAAGGTCCTGAGTTCGAACCTCAGAGAGGGCACGTGTTTTATTCCTGTGCGGCATTTGGTATTATGCCCAGAGTCTTGGGTCCATCCTTAAACTGGGAATGAGATGAACTTCTGGGATTAGTAGGACGGACTGCGGTGCATTATATAATAGGATAACGTGGATCTGATACCCTACACCTGTAGTTGCTCCAGATAATTATCACAAAGTGGCTCAAATGTATTATCTTATGTCAGAAGTTGAAAGTGGCTTGTAAAAGGTATGGCCCAGCTGTGCGCCCTGTGAGGGTTCTGGGGGAAAACCCAGTCCTTGCCTTTTTCAACTTCAGGCTGCCATATTCCTCAGCTTATGGCCTCGTCACTACTCTGCTTTTGCGGTACACTTCTTTCTCTGGGGAATCTCATGCAACCTGATTGATATCTCTGTTTGATGAGGGGCATTGCAAATTCAGGAGTCTCCTGCCATGTGATTCGGTTTGAGAGAACCAACCACAGACCCCTTGTTGCAGGATGCCTTTGCATTCAGAGAGAAGCAACAGGACAGGGGCAAGAAAAACTATGCCACTCTTGGTTTGGGTTGATAAAGGCATAAAAGCTGTACACTCCACTGGGAGAGACTTGTAAAGCCCCCCAGAAAACTGCCCTGCAGCTGGAGACAACAGAAATGTGGAATCTGATTCCATTCTCCAATGGGATTTAGATGACATGGAAGACCCAACAACTTGGAAGATTTCTGAGACAAGGCTCTCCTCTCTGGTCCTCTTACGACCTCCAGGGCTGACTATGGAAAAGGCAATGGAGAAACTTCACTGCAACATCTGGCTTCAGGGTGACAATGGCAAGGTGGTCTCAGGCATTGCCATCTGGGCAAGGCAAAGTGGCATAGACTGCTGATAGGGAGCCACACCCCCGGGGGCCAAGAAGGGGCCTCAAAGGGCAGCCCTGGGAAAAGGAAGAAAGGAGCAGAGCTGAAGTTTAGAGCAAGGTCGTCTCGAGCTATCGACGCAAACTAGATGAATTAGAAATTGATGGATTCCTACCTATGTCCACCAATGGTATAAGGTGGAAGGAGATTTCTCTAAGTCAGCAGTTAAGGCTTGAAGGACTGGAAAAAATTAGAATCCCAGCCAGACAGCAGCCGTCCAAGTTGCTGAACTCAATCCGGGAAGGTGGAATGGGTTACCAAGGCTCCTCTGAATTCTGACCATGAGTTCTGACCAGACGCAGAAGAAAATTCCGACTGTGAGCATGAGTCAAGTAAGGAGGATGGCTCCCACGTTTCTCCTGTCCTTACTCCTTCCAAAATGAATGATGAAGCATGAGGTCAAGTTCTCTGCATTCCTGCCAGGGACAAGAGAAGGTGGAATGGGGAAAAGGGGAGCAGGAGTTTTTATGGGGCTGTTGGACATTGGGATCCAAGTGACAGTAATTTCACTCTCTGCAAGAGTAGGGATAATCTGGTGGCATTGGAGGACTTCAGGAGTGACTCTGTGACTCACAGCAGGTGAGCTTTGCATGGGGCCCTGGGCCATTTTGAACACCTGTGATCATGATTCTTGGAGCTGAATGCATTACAAGTATTGACATTTTGGTTTCTTGTGGCACAGAGCATCAGGACAGCATCAGGAAATGTGCCACCTCATAGCAAAAGATTCTAGACATGATGGTGGGACTCATTCACTCTTGTCCAACACCCAAATTATCCAAGGCTGACAGGGTCCTCAACAAAGGCAGTACTGAATGCTAGGCGGAGGAAAGAATATTATCCTGTTGGTACGGAACTTGCTATAGAAAGAGAGCTACGCACCACCTTGTCTTAGTTTAACAACCAAGTCTTAAAGCCCAGCGCATATGGGCTCCGGTTCAAGACCTGGCTGCTCCACTACGATCCAGCTCTCTGCTATGGCTTGGGACAGCAGTAGAAGATGGCCCAAGGCACTGGGCTTCCTGGCTTCTGGCTTTGGATCAGTGCAGCTCCAGCTGTAAAGGCCATTTGGAGAGTGAACCAGCAAATGGAAGACCTTGCTAGCTCGCTCTCTCTGCCTCTCCTTCTCTCTGAGTAACTCTGACTTTCAAATAAATAAATCTTTTTTAAAAAAAATTTCTGGCTTGGAACAAGGGCCTCAGGAGCCTGGAGGCTGATAGTAGACTAACGCACGTTGACCAAGGTACCACTCGACTCCAGCAGTATCAGCATCAGAGCAATCACTGAAGTGGTGGTGGCCCACACTGGAGACTGGTTCACTGTTAGTGATTTGGTTAATGCTGTCTCCAGCATTGGAGATTGAGACTCAATCTGCATTCACACAGAGCAGGCTAAAGCATTGTTTCATTGTGCTCTCACAGGGATATTTCAATTCTCTTCAATATAGCACCAGTGGGTAGAGTTAGCAATGGGGATGTTCCACACATGCTGTCACCTTTAGGAAAATGAGATGGCCAGTAGGGGAGACCTCTGGAATGGATGAAGTAAGCATTAACTACAAAGAGGCCATCAGGAAGGACAACTCACCAGGTGGCACCCCTGCCTAGTGAGAGCCATTTGGTGATGTAGAATTTTAACATGAATGACTTCATTTTAATTTCCGGTCGAATCCGTTGAGGCCCAGTGCACGCATTTAGTCCAAAACAATGTCCTGCTATAATTTTTGTTTAGCGCTAGCAGTGCTTGGTGTTCCTTGCCCTGTGGTCATAACCACAATCTCTGCCTCTGTTTTCCCATGGTCTTCTTCCCAGTATATCTATGCTTCTGTGTCCAAGTCTCCCTCTCTTTACTCTTTTCAAGATACCAGTCACTGGATAATGGCATACCCTAATTCAATACGATCTCATCCAAACTTGATTACTTACACAAAGTGTCTATTTCTAAACAAGATCACATTCACGGTTACTGGGGATTAGGACTTGAGTATCTTTCGGAAGCACATTATTCAATCAAAAACACGCCTGGACTTATCCATAAATTTAAGCATAATAATGGATCAAAGAATTAAACACTTGTCCACAAATAAGTGTTTAATAAATAAGAGTAATGAGAAAAGCAATACAGTGAACTTGATTGTTTATGTGTCAGGTGCCCTTCTCAAATATTTTATGTGTGTGTCCTCACCAAGTTCTTCCATCAGCTCTATTAGGTCAGCTTCTTGCTATTTCCCTTCACGTATGAGGAGAGGCTGCCCACTGAGCTAAAGCAAGTTGGCAAAGGTCCCATAGCAGCTAAGGTCTGAATACAGGTAGCGCCACATACTTCAAAGGCCCAGTCAAAAGGTTTCAGGCATGTAGAATAGTTTTCTGGTTACCAGTATTTAATCTTGCTACTATGGTACTTGGAGAAACGTAGTAACCACACTGTGAATATTTCTCATTAAAAGGTTGAAAATAAGTTAATCACTTGTGACTTCATCTAAGAGACGGTGATCTCTGATTACCCGGGTCCAACCTGTACACCCCCCTACTCTCTCCCTGCCTTAAATTTCTCCACAGATGTCGTCAGAATTTGACTTATTGTACATATCCATTTCTTTGCGTGTGTGTGTGTGACGTCCCTGCCAACAAGATCCATCAAAGCTTGTGAGCTTTGTTCACTCTGTATTTCCTACCCTCAGAAATATGCCTTGCACATAAAACACCAAGAGTTCATATTTATTAAATTAATCCTTGAATGAATGGGAGACAAAAAGGTATAGAAGTTCCATGCATCCTTAAGGTCAAGTTTAAATCACGTTACATACTTGGTGCAATTCCTAAATCTGATCTCTTCTCACAGCAATGCTGTCCTAGCTCTGAGAGTATGTGGGTTCTAGGATTTTTGGCTTGCAGGGATCATCACTGGCGAGGTTATGCAAGTCCTTCCTTTAGAGGACTAACATAGGCATATAATTTTCCTCATGGTCTCTTCAAAATGATAAACATGTCCCTAAAAACATCCTATTTTCCTCTGTAGCCAACAGTGAGTTCATTATCCATTAATTTATCTTAAGGTGAATTTTATAACCGGAGATCATCAGAATCTAAAGAGATGACGCACCTATACGTGTGGAAGTACTGCAAACTGAGCATATTTCAGAGACTCAAAAACATTTTATGATGTTTTAACTCACTGTGCCACAACTCCGGACACATCTTACAAGTGCCTGGGACAGGGCCTTTGGAAGTGTTTTGCATTTGAATAGTCACCTCTTTAGGATTTTTTTTTTAATTTTTAAAACTCAGGAATGTAAGCAGGTTGCAGCCGAACAACTTACAGGTGTATGACTGTGCTATATTGCTGTAAGCTTGATAACCGTCCAAAAAACACAAAAGCTGATTTCCTTAGGGGTTAAAGAAAACAGGCGTATCAGAAGGCCCTACTGGGATTCGAACCCAGGATCTCCTGTTTACGAGACAGGCGCTTTAACCAACTAAGCCATAGGGCCACGTGAGAGCAAAGATCCGACTGAATCTCCCTCATTTTACTGCTGTAAAATAAACGCGTTAACACTGTCACCCTCAGCTCTGCCAACCCCAGAGAGAAGCCTCACTTCCTCGCGACGCGCGTGGGTGACCTAAGAATACGCAGAGGCAAGCACCAGGCAGTTGCGAGTTAGAAAAAGGAGCGCGTGACACGATTTACACAAAGTGGCGGCTCCGCAACAGTGGGAAAGGCTCTACCCGCGAAAACGTCTGCGTGCACTTCTAGCGGTTCGCGGGAAACACACTCCATCTTTTAACCCCATCTTCACCGACTTGGAGCTCCTCCCGA